GTGCTGATACGCCACAGTGCTCCCTCGTAAGCTATCTTGTTGAATGGCTAAACAGGATTTACCGCACAACAAATTTAATTGAATGGAAGTGGATTATTACATTGCAGGATCACAAGATATGGAGATGGCTATGGGAGGCATTCATCCAACAGTGGATAGAGCATGGCTGATGGCGATGATTATCAATTTGGCCCAGGACAAGAGTGCTTGGAGTCAATGCTCCCATTAAACACTTCAGGCCAGTGTTTGTGTAAGCGGTGGAGAGATGTTAACTACCTTGCCTGGTATACAGGAGGTCGTGGGTTCAATCCCAAAACTGACACCTGTATATTGTGAGTTTGCATGTTCTCCCCGTAGTCAAGTGGATTTTTCTCCAGGTCCTACGGATTTTCCCTCCACATTTAGAATCAACGTGCGTTTAGAGTTTTTGGCTGCGATAAATTTCAACATAAGCCACTTCATTGGGTTATCATTTGTGATAGCCAGGTCGCTTCTGAGAAATAGCTACTTCATTGGGCCTTACCTGGTAAAATAAAATAAAAACACTATAAATAGTGTTAAACAGAGTCCCCTGAAGGGTAAGAGGCTCAAGGTGTTACAGTCCTTGTGAATCATTCCATGCCGGGACTCGTGACTCTGCTCCTCTGTTCCAGTCATGATAATGGCTAAACAGGAAATGTCTTCCCGCTCAAATGGGCATTGGGTGGCAATCGTCCCTCATGGCAGCCCAGGTTCCGTGTGGGTTGAGGCGACCCAAATTAGGTAGCGGTGTTAATAATAAAGTGACAATGTATTTGCGAAACGACGTAAAAGGGGGAGACGTAAATCTGGGTATTACTGTACTTATTTTAGCACTCATATAATCCACATAATAGATTTTTGGGTTAGGCCACTTCATAATCTGACCTAATTTGTGACATAAAAAACCCTCCATCACCTGACACTGCAAAATAAATGTAATTGCCACGAGTACTCACATCTATCGTGCCAAAGATTATTGTTACTGCTCGCATATAAGTTAAAGAACAATCCTTACAATGAGCTTCAGCAATTAGATACCACGACGTTTCATTTGAAACTACATCAAGCATCGTCAGGACAATATTCTGAAAGTCAGAATAACAATGTAACCTCACGCAGCTTGTTAAATACGTGTAATGACGTCACAGCAGGATAGAATTAGATTTAAACGAGATATTCACCATGACAAATGAATATTCATTTTATTAGAAATTATCTGAGCCATTGATTAACATTATATATGCATAATCAATGGCTCAGATCACATTATATATGCATTATTCATTACAATTACTCATGAATACACTATCCTGTAGCAGAATCGCATTATTATGTAAACTGAACCCTAAAACTTCATACATTTGACAATTAATTTGTCTGTATCGGGTGGTGGAAGGTTCCTATCGTCACAAATTAGGCCTCAACAAAGCATCAATTATGAACCGTGATACTGGCTGCGATAATAAAAAAAAACTACTACAACGTACTTGTGTTCACTTACCCCAGGGGGATATATGGCTGAGTTGAGCCCCGGCCGGGAAACGAACTCCCAACCTTCCAATTTGGGAGAGGAGCGCTCTTGCCACAATGCCACGTGACCAGTATAATAATACCAGTACAGTATGATGTCCCTTGTGTGTCCAGAGAAGCCGGAGTGAATTGCAAATACTTTCCAGAAGGGCACTGCTTGAAATAGGGGACGAAACTGGATTTTGCTTTAAATGCAAATAAAATGTAATTTCTCTGCGTGGATATTGATACTAGAAATTATTTGTGTAATAATGCATTGAATTATCAATTGCTATAAATTCACAATAACATAAAGACGTGGAATTGTGTAACAATAAGTGTTTTTTATTCATATGTCCTATGCCATGGGTTCCCGTGACTCCTGCTACCAATATGTAGAACAAAATCATCCAATCTTAAAATCTGATCGCAAGCCCGAATGGCGACAATTCATCGAACCAGCAGTTTAAGGGTGAATTATTACACTGCTAGCAGAAGCTTGATATCGTGTGGGCAATGTAACAACAACAAAATGAATTGGTAACTACATTGTTAAAACAATAATGAGACTTTTACCCTTCATCAGCGAACCAGAACTGATGTGTTGGCTCGGTGCCACTGTTGACCATTTCACCTTTACCTGGGCTTCCAAAGGTGTGCACGCTTTTACGCGCATTAATGCAACAAATTCCGTGTAGAATGTATAACCGGTTTAATTTTTTTCTCGCTGCAGTCCTGTAAGAGTGAGATCCTTTCTTGCAGCTTTCCCGTGAATCCATTCCAGCAGCCAGACTTAGCTGCGTGTGTTTATTGAGGTGTCTCCGGCACCTTGAATGTGTTCTTTGTGATGCATTATGAATGCATAGCCTTTCACGTACACTGAGGTTGGAAGGATGATATTTCTTGCACAGTTATATGCTGTCAACCGTGCACCGCGGTGAAACTTTTACTTTTTTGAAAGTGTTTTACTGTTTGCGCGAAAGAGCGGCGGTTTATCGTTATTAGCGGCGCAGAGTTCAGAATGTAAAAGCTTTAAAACCATGACGCCGTCACCCTGGTATCGCTCGCCCAGTGAAAATAGCGGTGTGGTGCCCCCCCCCCCCTTCAAATTAATTTCCTCGCTGGCATCGCACCACCCTCGTGGCCGTGTAAACAAACACGTGGCCGTGTAAACAAACACGTGGCCCGTGTAAACAAACACGTGGCCGTGTAAACAAACACGTGGCCCGTGTAAACAAACACGTGGCCCTGTAAACAAACACGTGGCCGTGTAAACAAACACGTGGCCCTGTAAACAAACACGTGGCCCGTGTAAACAAACACGTGGCCGTGTAAACAAACACGTGGCCGTGTAAACAAACACGTGGCCCTGTAAACAAACACGTGGCCGTGTAAACAAACACGTGGCCCTGTAAACAAACACGTGGCCGTGTAAACAAACACGTGGCCGTGTAAACAAACACGTGGCCGTGTAAACAAACACGTGGCCGTGTAAACAAACACGTGACCCGTGTAAACAAACACGTGGCCCTGTAAACAAACACGTGGCCCGTGTAAACAAACACGTGGCCCTGTAAACAAACACGTGGCCGTGTAAACAAACACGTGGCCCTGTAAACAAACACGTGGCCCGTGTAAACAAACACGTGGCCGTGTAAACAAACACGTGGCCGTGTAAACAAACACGTGGCCGTGTAAACAAACACGTGGCCCTGTAAACAAACACGTGACCCGTGTAAACAAACACGTGGCCCTGTAAACAAACACGTGGCCCGTGTAAACAAACACGTGGCCCTGTAAACAAACACGTGGCCGTGTAAACAAACACGTGGCCCTGTAAACAAACACGTGGCCCTGTAAACAAACACGTGGCCCGTGTAAACAAACACGTGGCCGTGTAAACAAACACGTGGCCGTGTAAACAAACACGTGGCCCTGTAAACAAACACGTGGCCCTGTAAATAAACACGTGGCCCTGTAAACAAACACGTGGCCCTGTAAACAAACACGTGGCCCTGTAAACAAACACGTGGCCCGTGGAGGCGCGCATGCCTGGTCCACAGTGCGACTGCTTCATTGGAAACGCGCGCTGTCTCGCTCCTCCAACTTCCACGCTGCAGGGAGTGAAGGCGTGTCGTGGCTACAGCCATACTCCTCCTCCTCCCTGCCTTTCTCTATAGCAGTGCCTCCTGGGTGGGAGGCGGGAGGCTTGAGGTGGAAAAAAAATTCCCGTGTTCTCGTTGTGAAAAGCCAGGCCCATGCCCAAATTGCGTAGATACCTGTGTATTATCAACCGTGGGTTACGTGTGCCCATGCGCAGTTACTGTGTGATTACTTGGTGTGCCTATATGCACGCGTATATACAGTGAGCCGTTCATGGTTTACCATTCATATTACTGTGAATGGCTGTGTTATTATATTACCATAGTGCTCATGTCTATCATCAGCCAAAATCCGTGGTTGTCTGCGACACAAACATTTGGCGTGGGTTATTTATTCTGGAGCATCTCATAATCCGTAGGAAACCATGGTGGTACAGCTTTCACTTTCGGATTTAGCGTTTAAAAAAATATAGCTTTTATTTATTTAATTAACAGTAAAAAGTCAGCATCTTGGCCACGTGGAAAAGTCTTTTGAGTACGATTTCTACCTCAGAGCACCCTGACCCGCAATACCCTGTATGGCTCGGTATGGTGCATTGCTTATCCTGAGTGTTTGCTTTTCTCAACAATAGCCCTGCACAGCTTCCACACTCAAACCCAGCTGTCATTGCCACTTTGCTTTCTGGATATGGAGAATAACCATGCTAACCCCATTGGAACCAATCACAGTGCCCGTTGTACCCCATGTGACTTAAAGGCAATCAGACTCACACTTACAGTATAAGGACACGCCAATTGAATGGCGGTGTTTGTCATGGAGGATGTGTGACCATACTTCATCCCCTGGACAGTGTGGGTTGGATGAAGGAGGGAGGGTGCCCTAGGTCCTGACAGATACCGCTCGCCACGAGTGTTAGCTGAGGCGGGGGAATTTAAGTCAGGTGGTCGAGTTGGTAAGGCAGCGTGTTTACAACTGCACCACCGCTGCATCAGTCATACTAAGATTAACCCTTTCCCGTTCCGAGACGTCTGCAAGTCACAGGGTGAGTGTCCTCTTCACCTCTGAACCTCGGAACACACAAGCGGTTCAGCGTTAATCTTATTTCGAGAGACGTAGCACCATTGTTTTTAAAGACATTGTACTCACCGCAGAGAACTATTGTGACACGACCGCACTCTATGATAGCTGGCGGAAAATTGTGCCACATGCCCTCCTGCATGGCCTTGTGGGAGCCTTTGTACTGATACAATTATTTGATTTTAGTTTTTATTCCTGTTTCGTACACGTACGTCATCGTAACGGAATACGTCATCGGAACGGGACAGGGTTCAGTGTTGACCACGGCGTGTGTGCCCGCGTTGTTACAGGCTGGGCACGCTGGAGCCCGGCGACCGCCTCCTGGCCATCAACCACACGCGCCTGGAAACCTCCTCGGTGGATGAGACTGTCCACATCCTGCAGCAGAGCGACGACTTCGTCAAGCTCAAAGTCCGCAAGGATGAAGACAACTCTGGTGAGGAGAGGGTTCGGGGCTCTGGGGGGTGGAGGGTGGGGGGTAGGTGGCGTGGGCGAAACCGAATCCGCACGTGCATCGCAGTACGGAGAGGAATCCACCGGGAAACGGCGCACGATCAGCCAGCTGCAGCCATTACAGGGCGCCATGGTGGCGAGATGTAAACTACCTCGCCTGGTATACAGGAAGTCGTGGGTTCGAACTCGACCCTGACACCTGTTGTATATTTTGAGTTTTCATATCTCTCTCCCAGTGGTCGTGTGGATTTTTCTCCGAGTCCTCCGATTTTGTCCTCCACATTTTGAAACATGCATTTCGAATATTTGTCTGCAATAAATTTTCCACGTGATCATAAGCCACTTTGTTGAGCAATCATGTGTGGCCAGGTCACTTATAAAAAAATATCTATGTAGTTTAGTTTAGTTCCTTTTGAGTCTTCGCTGCAGGTTCGGTCATCTAGCCGAACCGCTTTGGCACAGGATCCTGTACCAGCGTGGTTATGACACTGGCAGAGCTGGTCATGACATTTGTGAGCTGACGTCCATTGTCTGAGTCGACTCGGATCATTTCTCTGCCATCGAAGTAAGGAGCACCACCCCGTGGACCCCACTTTGTGAGAGATCAACATTGGTTGTCCTGTGAAAGCCCGGCCCTCACCAGAGGAATGTCTAATTTACAGAGCCGTGATGAGCTCTGGCTCACCACTCATTTGCGCATGGGGGGCACCCTTCATCTGTTTTACTTGTGGCTTGAGCATTAACTGGCCGATTGCGCCAGCTGTTTTGACTTTTGTGTCCTTGTACAGCAATTGTCATTGACTCTCGATTTGTATCCATGTGGAAAATTCAAAGCAGGAGAGCTCACATAACTTTACAGCTGTGCCGTTATCGTACGAACTGGGCTCGTCTTGAAGTTTGAAGCTTTTTTTATGGTCATTGTTAAGCCGTGATTTACGTGCAATTTGACCAAAGCTCTTGGCTCAAACACCCGTGTCACTGAGTGGTCTGTGATTAGGGCTAGACAAGGACTGAGACTGAATTATATTTCAACGCAGAGGGAGAGGGGAAATGCCATTAATGTGCACAAGGGGCATATTGCACTTAAACCAAATTGGCATCTTTAATGCGGCTTATATATAGCGCTGATAGGAAAAATATGAGATCGGGAGAAAGAAGCAAGACAGGATTCGCGATCATATTGCGTTGAGTGTGTGTGTGTGTGTGCGAGACCCAGCGAGGCCTAGTAAGCCATTACAGCTCGGCTCTCTGTGTACTGAGTGGTAGCATGTGCCAGAGTCCCTGGTAAATGGATTCGTTCTGCCTATCGCAATGGGAGAGATTACTGGAGTACGTTAATAATTTGTGAGCGGTGTGGGAGGTTAATGAGTCCCTTCATCCAACAGGGGTTTCCAAATGCAAAATAATGCTAAATTGCCCACACTTAATTGAAATACGTAAGTTGTAATGAGGACAGTGGTGAATGGCGAGCCTTCGCGACTGATTGAACCGCACTCCGGCGTCATGCCATGCAACAACAATAAAAACCTTGCGATTTTTTTATCACACAATTTTTTCCGGTTTTTTGCAAAGTAAATTTACAAGGCAGATTTAGATGTCCGAGTCGTTGCTCATGCGTCAGTCACCCTGTAACTGCCGCCAAAAGTCAACGTGAATCAAGCGATTGTAAAAAGAAAATGTTGATCTACATTCCTATGGCAAGGAGCCAATACTTATGCAGGACACCCACTGTTGAATTTCACAGTGATACTATTTTTTCAATAAGAGGCTGTCATGCAACAGGCAAGGTTTAAAATTGCACCTGTGGACTGTTAGTCTTGCTCACCTGCTTATTTTATAAAAATGTTTTATCCCGGTCTGCCTTCAGTAATTGCCCTAGATATACTCTTCTTCTTTGGTTCTTTCGGTAAAGTCACGTAGAATGAGAATAAAATAATAAATTGATCAAATAAAATAACACAATAATATTCTCACGACGTTTCGGCCACAACACAAGCGGCCTTCATCAGGTGAAGAGACGATACTGTCTGGTAGGACAGCGCTGGAGTGAAATTGTGTTATTTTATTTTATCAATTTAACATTTCACAGGGTCCAGGGATCGAACCCACGCCCTCCTGTAGACTAGGCGAGGTAGTCAACATCTCACAGGGTCCAGGGATCGAACCCACGACCCCAGGATCAGCCTCTCAAGATGGCGGTGGCGTGTGTAGCAGCGTGAGTTGTTTTTGTGAGTTGTTTTGCGTGAGTGTAAACTGTGCGTGAGTGTGTGAAAATGTGAGTGAGAATGAGCTGTGTGTGAGCTGCGTGTGAGTTTGTGTGAGTGCGCCGTGTGTGTGAGTGAGCCATGTGTGTGAGTGAGCTGTGTGAGGGTGAGCCGTGTGAGCCGTGTGAGAGTGGCCGTGTGTGTGATGGAGTGGTGATGTGCACTCTGTGTGTGTGTGTGATAGTGTGGTGGTGTGCACTCTGTATGTGTGTGATAGTGTAGTGATGTGCACTCGTGTGTGTGATGGTGTACACTCGTGTGTGTGATGGTGTGATGGTGTGGTGATGTGCGCTCGTGTGTGTACCTGGCGCAGCCTGAGTGAGGCCTGGTTGGTCGCGCACTTGGCGCAGCCTGGGTGAGGCCTGGTTGGTCGCACACGCGGCACAGCATGAGTGAGGCCTAGTTAATCGTGCAAGTGGCGCAGCCTGAGTGAGGCCTAGCTGATCGTGCACCTGGCGCAGCCTGAGTGAGGCCTAGGTAGTACTGCACATGACACAGCCTGAGTGAGGCCGAGTAAATCGTGCACCTGGCGCAGCCTGAGTGAGGCCTGGCTGATCGTGGACCTCGCGCAGCCTGAGTGAGGCCTAGTTAATCGTGCACGTGGCGCAGCCTGAGTGAGGCCTAGTTAATCGTGCACGTGGCACGGCCTGAGTGATGCTTAGGTAGTACTGCACATGACACAGCCTGAGTGAGGCCGAGTAAATTGTGCACATGGCGCAGCCTGAGTAAGGCCTAGTAAAACATGCACAAGGCGCAGCCTGAGTGAGGCTTAGTTGGTCATACACGTGGCGTGGCCTGAGTGAGGCCTGGTTGTGCACATGACACTGCCTGGGTGAGGCCTGGCGGATCGTGCACCTGGCGCAGCCTGAGAGAGGCCTGGTTAATCATGCACAAGGCACAGCCTGAGTGAGGCCTGGTTGACAGTGCACCTGGAGCAGCCTGAGTGAGGCCTAGTAAATTGTGCACCTGGTGCAGCCTGAGTGAGGCCTGGTTGATCGCGCCCATGGCACAGCCTGAATGAGGCGTAGTTGATAGTGCGACGGACCACAAGCTGTGTTCCTGCCAAGGCGGCATTGCCACAGACTCCAAGTTGTGTTCCTGCCAAGGCAACATTGCCACGGACTCCAAGCGGTGTTCCTGCTAAGGCAACATTGCCGTGGACCCCAACCTGTGTTCCTACCAAGGCAACATTGCCACGGACCCCAACCTGTATTCCTGTCAAGACAACATTGCCACGGACTCCAAGCTGTGTTCCTGCCAAGGCAACATTGCCATGGACCCCAAGCTGTGTTTCTGCCAAGGCAACATTGCCACGAACCCCAAACTGTGTTCCTGCCAAGGCAACATTGCGACGGACCCCAAGCTATGTTCCTGGAAAACTTCACGAAGATCGTCAAGACGGCCAAGGGTTGTGAATGAAGAGTCCCCTGTGTGGGCTTCAGTGGGGTCGTCTGGTTGGGCAGCAGAGACACGAGAGGCCAAGAAACGACATTCCAGTCGTGGGCTTAGCTCAAGGAGGGTTAGCTGGACCACCATCCTGCGGCGGGGAAAGGAGGTGGTGCAAGCGGTTCAGCCGAGCCCACAACAGCCAAAAATCTGCTGTCCCTGTCTGGGGGGGGGGGGGGCGCTGTTCAACCCTAGCACATGGACGAGAAGCCGTGCATGTGTGACGAGTGCGGCAAAAGACGTTTTCTCGCGCTCGGCCTACAAGTATATATTTTTTTTCTTTTCTGCTTGTGTGTTAATCTGTGTTTACCCCGGATATTTTAGAGATGGCAATTCTCCTGCTGTGTATCCTTCTGCTGTCCCTCCCGGCCATATCTAGTGCCACAATCAACTCTACAGACAGCTACCCTCGTTACTTTGCGTCTATACTTCTTGCTCGATTTGCCACTACACCTGCTAATGAAACAGCTCATAGACACTTCTACACTCCATCATTGTATCCTTTTAAACCCTATTTTTGTCCCATTACTTCACCAGCACTCCTTCCAAACTTCATTATGCTCTTAAAAATAACACAATCTGCGAGCTACTGCTATTCGTCCAAGGTCCGCCGCTCTTCATCCTTTCACAGAAAATACTTGTGCAAACTATTAATTCTACGTTTCTTATTTCTAGGTGGTATTGAGCTTCATCCTGGCCCAAATGAAAAGAACTCGTATAATTCTGTAGATTTTTCTGGCAGGAAAGGTGTTGGTGTTCTACATGTCAACATCAGAGGGCTTGTGATTAAATTAAGTCAACTAAAACTAGAAGTGGCAAATCTTGACCTGGACATATTTTACCAACCAGAAACATTTCTCACTCCTGCCGTCAATGACTTGCAGATTGCGATTGACAACTACAACCTTTTTCGGCTTGACTGAGGATCTAAAGGAGGTGGAATTGCCATCTATGTTCGTAATACTATTGCATGTTCACTAGCTCACTCCTTGTTTAAAAATGTTGCTTTGAAGGTCTAGATATCAAAATAACTCTTCCAAATAATCAACAGATATTGGTAGTGTGCTTCTATCGACTGCCTAGTGGGAAGGATGTTGAAGCTGCATCTGCACTGAGAGAGCTTTTTGGAGGCCTCCCTAAAGGTGAAATAGTTTTAGTGGGTGATCTAAATTGGAATTGGCTAAACCCGCCGGCCGTGGCCACAAATTTTGCAGTTGAATTTAATGTTTAAATTAATAAATGTCCCCACAAGACCCAACCTAAAAAATCCGGG